GCGGTTATTTGAGTCCGGTCTTTTTATGTGTAGGACTGCTACAGACCAAAGTTTTCAGGACCATTTATCATCTTTACCAGAAGGTGAAAAAATAATATCTGATCAAAAAAATTTAACCAATGAAATTGATGTTGAAAGTGACGATAATGGCCTAAAAATTGCAAAAAAAATAATAATTCCACTCTAACTAAACAGCCAATTCTTACTAGTTATATGTCACACCATTATCAAAACAGGATGAAACACATTTTGAGAATTTAGCATTACGTATGATTGTTACTAATGGTCTATCTTTTTCATTTATGAAAAATAACGAAACACGGTATCTTTTCAATTTTATTGCTCCTGCATTAAAACTTCCCGGACGATGAGAAATAAGCGATAGAATTCTTCCAAAATCTGCAAATCAATTAACTGAAACGATTTTACAAATTGCATGTAATGATAAAATTGTGGTAACAGCAGCTTTTGATGGTTGGACGAATATTAAGCAGGAACATCTTTTTGGTGTTATTTTTATTATTTCGCAAGGTGAAGTTTTAATTTGTGAAGCACGTGATATTAGTAATCAACAATCAAGAACTGAAATTTCTTATTTAAAGTATTATAGATGATGCTAAACAAAAGGAATTAAAATAAATTGCTATGTAACTGATTCTGCTGGAGAGTATGCAGCTGCAAGGCAAATACTATATTAAATATATTCATTTAAAATTAACTCATTTATATAATTAATTAATTATTATTATAAATTTTTAGTTTATATAGACGACAATTAAGAATAGAATATCTGAATAAAGTTTTTATACCTTGTATGGCCCATCAATTAAATTTAATAGTCGGAGATATCTTTAAAGAATCTGAATCATATAAAATAACATAAAATGAATTGTTAGTTACTTTCATCCTCGTTGGAATAGCTTTTAATTTTGCTTTCACTCTGTATTAAAAACAGAAGCTGCTCTTAAAGTAAGTATTTTTTATTTAATTTTTTATTTAATATATTTTTTATTTTTAATATTTATTGACTTTATTTATTACAAAATTTTCTCCACAAAGATTTGAAACAACTAGTAGTTCACGAAGTGGACTTGTATGACAATGTTTTTTATTAAAAAATAATAATAATTCTAATAAAGTCCTTTTACCAGATATTATAATAATAGTAAATGATTCTAATTTTTGTTACAACTTTATGAACTTCAAAATCTGCTATTTTCATTATGTGGAATATTAAATAAATTGCAAAAAGATATTGCCCGGTTATATGAAATTGTTCATTGTTTTGGTTGGATTATTAAAATTTTCAAAAATCATGAAAATGAATTTTTTTCCAATCAAATGATTATACGTTTAAAAACACGATGGGCTCAATGGGAACAACCTCTCCTTTTATTATCATTTGTATTACATCCAAAATTTCGACTTTCAATGTTTTCTAATAATTCAAATCTTTCTTATACATATTTTGGACAATGGTTAGGTTATTATTATCAAGTATGGTTTGAAAAATTACCAACTTCTATTTTACGTGAATATTTATCTTATCAAAGAGAAAATTTTACTTTTGATTTTAATACATATACTCAATTTAATGAAAATATCATTGATTTTTGAGAATCAGCTAAGGGTTTAGCATCAGAACTTTCTCAATTAGCTTTACATAATTTAGTATATATGTTAACTCAGCTTCAGTTGAACGCCTTTGATCAGGTATGGGTTTTTACATACAAAACGTCAAAATCGTCTTAATGTATTTTCATTTATATTTAATACCTTATATAATTAATTATAATTTATTTTTTTAAGCATAAAAAGGTATTATCAATGATTGAGTTGTGGAGTGATTAAAAAAAAATATTGAAAATCAGAATTGCAATAAAAGTGAATTCATATATATGCACCAATACAATCTTATAGTAATGAAGAACAAGATGATTCTCAAATTAATCTAAGTGATAATGAAGGGGATGAAGATATTAATTTTGAAGATGATACAAATGATAATGCAAATATGATGAAATTCTTAGTTCAGTTTATGAATAGTAGAAAATTGGATTGAAATGTTTCATACTGAAAATCATCTTTAGTGAAGAACCAATGGAATTTGAATTAGGAGGTCGTATAATTCATCCAGCAGATGATCCAATGGCAAAGTGGGATTTATTAAATTTATTTAATAATTCTTTAGAAGCACCCGTTTATCTTGCTTGATTCTTTAATAAATTTGTAATTGAATGATCTTTTATAATAAATTTCTTTACAATATGATATAATATTTTTTAAATGACTACATTACGGGTCATTTGAAGGTCACTTGACAACACTTTGTTATACGGATATGCTAAAGTCGAGTTGTCAATTAAAAAACGTTGATTTAATGAAAAAATACGCAAATGGATCTTTTGACCGCACCCCTCCTGTAATAGTTGAGCCTTCGGCATAAAGATATAATATATTGGATTCCGATGGTATAGCAAGATTGGTGAAAGGGTGTGATATCAGGACGTGTAGAAACACACTAAAATTTATCGTTATACAATTAATTTGCGAAACGAATGTTACTGGATAATAAATGAAATAATGGACTATAGTCCGCGATAGTATCCTTTAAAATTCTTGCTAATTATTTAATTTAATATTTTACTACATTGTAGTTATATAGCTAATATTGGAGTAGACAATATATATTACACGCAATTAGTCCAAATGAAGGAGAAATAAATAGTTGTTAAAGAAATAAACCGTTTTTAAAAACTAGCAGTTATTTATTCTTATCAGCGTGACTTAAAAAAAGAATTAACTATGACGATGGAAGTTTGGAATTGAAATGGGAAACTGCAAAAAATTCCATTAATGTGGAAATTAATACAATCTCAATTTGTATGGAAGGACGACTTTCCTAAATAAGGCAATTGAAAAACCAACAACTGGGAAGATTAATTAGAAAATTTCATTCGACTTCTATAGCGAACTGGGAGAGCTAATTTTAGAAAAAGCGATTTGTTTTAACATAATATATGCTCAAGACCATTGAAAATAAATGGCTTTGGCCTCTTGAATCAAGTCACATAGATTATAGTAAATGAGTGATGTGATGTGCTAATCAAGAACAAACTTGCCGTTGTTTTATATTGAATATTTTTTGAGTAACTTCGGATTATAACCGAAATTAGGTCAATTAAGTGTTTTTGTCCTAGTGATAGATTGGACTTAACAAGGTAGAGGATTCTGATAAAATGGCAGAATGTTTAAATACATGAGCAAGACAAAGTTGACTTGCGGTAACATCTTTCTTGCTTGCGAATTCTTGAAATTTCTTAACAATTTCTAAATTTTTCTGAAAACTATCACCAAAGAAACGTGGACTCGTCCTTCTATAATCATTTTGATCAAAATCATCAATTGATTTATATTTTCCGGTTAAGAATCCACGACTAAGTGGCTATAAGCGACAATGGTAACACCTGATTCACGACATGCTTCCATAATTTCATTTTTTTCAATATCAAGTGTCTATGGACTATACTCGATCTTATAAAATGGGGTGGAGTCATTGTATTTTAATAGTAGTTAATATTTCAAATTTTCTAAAATTTGAAATATTGTACCTGTAAAACTGCTATTGGATGAACTTTATGAGCGCGTCGAAGTGTGCTCGCGGAACATTCTGAGAGTCCGATATATTTCACTTTGCCTTCTTTCACAAGTTCCGCCATTGCGGCAATGGTTTCTTCAACAGGACTATATTAGTAAAAAAATATGTATTGATTTTTTTATTTGTTAATTTAAAATGAACAATTTGATTTATGCTTACGTTTTGGGATCCACACGATGTTGATAATAGAGATCAATATAATCAATCCCAAGCCTTTTCAGGGAATTTTCACAAGCTTGAAGAACATATTCACGATCACCTTTAACCATCATATTTTTTACATCCGGACCTCGAACGGCCCCGAACTTAGTACAAAGAAATACATCATTACGATGTTCTTTAAGAACTTTGGATAAAAGGATCTCATTAGCTCCAATTCCATATATATCCTAAAGGTAAACAATTCAAACGTATAAAAAGAAAATTAATATTCTTATTTGTATCTGTAATTCGAAAATAATGATTGAATAAAATCTAAAATACTTTACTGCAGTATCCCAAAAGTAACTTCCTAATTCGATTGATTTGTTCAATACATTGATGTTTTCTTTCTCGTCAGTTTGTCCATAAAATTCACTCATTCCCTGTAATTTTTAAATAAGTAGATAAAAAAAATAAAAAGAAGATTTAAATAATTTAATATTGAAAAAAATTAAGTGGTAAATTCTATTATCATTAATTACACACCATACATCCTAAGCCAATAGTTGGAATTTTGACTCCGGTTTTACCTAATTCACGAGTTGGAAGCGGCATTTTTATTTCTAATTTTTTTCTTTAATAGATTTGACGAGAAATTCAGAAGAAACAAAAAAATGAAAATTCATAGATACTGTATTTATACCTTTAAAAGAAAGAAAAAAACTCATTTTAATGATTTCTCTTTTCAAAATAAGGACTAAATACAAAGGTTTAGTTATTATTCAAATTTTTAACAAAGATTTGCACGCGAGTCCATAGAGGTTGGAACCGGTCTTATCGGTTAATAACCGGTTAAAAATTCTTTACCTGGTTAATTACCGGCTAAATTTAACTAAGACCATCACTATAAATTGGAAATTTTTAAATTTTTTGTAATCCCAAAAATTTTACAGTAATTCTGGCAAAAAATTAAAACTCGGCCGGAGTTAAAATTAAACTATTTTATTTGAGAAAATCTTTTCCGGTTAAAATGTTCTCTGACAAAACGCCGGCAAATTTCTCCTATAATTGTTTCTATTGGATCTATAGTGCCTCAACTTCACTTCACTGGTACATTTTCTCGTGAATGGTGGCTTACTATCATTAACATAAATAAATTTGAGGAAATTTATCCAATACGTATTGGTAGATTTTCCACACAGCCAATTGCAACCATTCAAGTACAATATCCCAAAAATTTTAATTCAATCTTAATGTTATACATTATCATATATCATCAAATAAAACTATTTCATACGAATTGATTTAAGTTGTTTAAATCATCATAGCAAAAATCATTATTTATTTCATTGAGCATAGTTGAGTCGAACGCTAACGCTTCTAGAAATAATTGAAATAAAGTAGAATCCATAAACATGACGAAAAAAATTTTATTTTATTATCATACACGTCGTTAATTATTTTTGAATATTTAAATTTTTTTTTTTAATTTATTAAGAATAATTAGCAAAATTAAGAATGAATTTCTAAGCCTCATATCTTCCTATATCCGGATATTATTCCTATAAACTAGCTATCATTTTGTTCCGAATTGCCGTAATTACAATAGTAAAAAGATTCTATTTCAAATAATAAATAATTTAAGTTAAGCGTAATACACAGTATCAAGGTATTCAATGTCTTTATGGGAACATTCTACTCTACAGCACCACCATCAGTTACATATAATTAATTCCAATATATTGCAATGCAAAATGTTACTAATACTGACACATCTGGATCCAATTTGATTTAACACTTTCTATTAAAACAAAAAAGTGCATTAATTTTTCATACGTAGAATAAGCACAATATTAAGTCAGCAATTGTTATTTACATACCGTATTCTACAGAACATTCATAATCGTTAGGATGTAAGTATCCAGCAGGATGACACCCTTGAGTTTTACACGTGGCTTATTTTCAAAATTTTTATTTTTTATCTTAAATTTTATTTAAGTACCTACATACAATACAATATTGAATTAATTATTTTTTAAAGGCAAGTTTATCTTTCACGTTAAAAAGTAATTTATTAAATAATTTCGTTACCAGAATAAAATATTGGCTTATACAATTATTAATAAATAGTTAATAAAGCCATGTTGAATTATATAAGATACAAAAGTAGTTAAAATAAAGCAGCTAAAACTTAAGTTACATTAAAGAGCTAGCAGAATAGCTGTTTGAGTATTGAGTTCTTAAATATTCGGGGTAGATATATTTTAAAGATTTAGGTAAATTTGGTAAGCGAGTGATTTTAGTCTTGGAGCAAGAAAGTAACGTTAAGGATTTGGGTAATGTTGGTAAGCTAGTAATTTGGGTATTATAGCAATAGAGCATTGTTAAGGAGGTTGGTAATGCTGGTAAGCTAGTAATTTGAGTTTAAAGCAACGGAGTTCCGTTAAAGATTTGGGTAAAGTTGGTAGGGTAGTAATCTGAGTATTATTAAAATCAAGTAATTGTAATTTTCGATATCTTTGTAATCCTCCTAAGGTGTTTAATATGTCATCATTAATATCCGAAATAGTTAAATATCATCATAAATAATCATTTCAATATTTCTAACTCTTTCTTCCAATTCATTAATAATTATTTGCTTTTCTTTAGATACTTCCTCATGTTCTTTAATCTTTTCTTCATAATTATTAATAATTTTTTGCTTAGCTTGGGTTTCTTCACTAACCTTTTCTTCTAAATTTTTTATAGTTTCTTGCTTGGCTTTGGTTTCTTTTTCTCGCTCTCTGACCCTTTCTTCTAAATATTTGAATTGTGAACGTAACCCTTCGCTATTTTGCTCTAACTCCTTAGTTATTTATAATTTTTTCTAACTTGTTTTTAAAACCATTTTATTTTATTCGGATGGATATTTCAATATGTTTTAGCTTTTATTTTTGTTTATTTGCATAGAATTATTCAGCCTTCGGATAAAATTTTTTCCAACAGGTAATATTTCCATAAATAAACTAGCTGTTTGAATCATTTCCTTATCCTATCAAATAAAGTTAAATGCTTTCTGAAATTAGATATATTTTTAATAACCTGCCACATTACAACTATCCACAATATTGGAATTAACATTACATAAATGACGAAATCATAGATAAAAAATCAAAAAAAAAAAATAATTGCGACCCAAATAAAAATAATTAAAAATAGAGTAATTTGTAAGAGATCTTTCAATCTTAATAGGATTATTGTTTAATCAATTAAATTTTCTACAAAATATTTAAGAGGATTTATGTACTAAAATCTTATATTTAATCATTGCATTGTACCCTATAGAAAATTTAATTAAATTCCGGAAATTTCAAAAAACATAAGACCTGAATTTCTATCTGCAACGGGAATTTGATTTTACTGGTTAATTGAAAATGCTTTTCCTTATAAATTATATTTAATTTTAAAAACAACTTGAATAAATCAAATTATGGCGTAAAAAATTATTTTTTGGTACGACCTAAATAATTCGAGCGAAAAATAGAGAAGAGAATTTTCTACATATAAGGAAAATAAAACAAAATGGAACAAGCTTTTCGGCATCCACGTTTATAATCACGTAATCAATTACAAATAATAAAAAAAAATCTGAAAGATTATTGTTTCGATCATCAACTTAAAAATGTAATTATTTAAGTTGGCGACGGTCGCCAACCTCAAATACATTATTCGAGACATGATGCACTTTGACGTTTTATATTTTACATAAACATTTCTATTTCATCCAGAAGTTTAAGAGAATTATAATAAATAATTCTATCTATATAAAGAAAAAAATTAGTAACTAAATTTTGAAAGTAAAGATTCAATATTAAATATTATCACGTGTATGATGTTTATTTAAAAAAAAAAGTCAACCAACCAAATTAAAAGAAAATATATTTCCTTTTTAGGTTTCATTTTATCTTTTTTTAGCACTTTTTGACACTCAACGAAGCAACAGTTATTGAGCCACAAACAAAGATCTACCTAACCTTAAAATATAACATTTTTTTTTTATAAAAAAAAAAATTTATAAAAAATAAAACCCAATTTTTGAAATAAAAATCTCAGCTTCATGCTGAATTTATTTAGTAGTAATTAATTAGAATTCATGTTAATTAATAGCCTATATTTTGTAACTTTTTAATTTTATAATACAAAATTTTCTTCGTCCTAATGAAATTTACTCAATATTGTTGGGGTATCATGTGGGCAATTTGTGGGAGACTAAATTTACGCTTATTCAGTTTACACAAAAGGTGATTGTTTCATATAGTCAGCAGAAGTTGGTTGGTTATGGAAGTTGGGAATTAGCTAAGGAGTGTGTAGCAACTCACCAGTCAAATGAACTATGAAAATGCTTGACATTTTAAAGAGTAGGTTTGAAAGTTTCATTAAGTATTATTATCTTAAGTAGAAGATCTTACAGATCTTGGTTTGGAAAATGAAAACTTTGAAGACTAAATTGGAGAAAGGCTCCGGGGAGAATTCGATCGATAATAAGAAGATAAGAAGTAATTTACATCTATCGAAAATGAAATGGTTTAACATTTTTACATCAGGATGTGAATAATTAATATGGTAGCATTAATGAACTTGGCAACATCAGTGAAAACTTTGAAAGTATTTCTTAATTGCAAACCCATGGAACTATGGTATTTTAATTGGAAGAGCTTAATAGTTTTGTCAGGTCCGAATGTTTTCAATGATTCTTGGGAAAGATTTAATTTTTATTCGAACTCTTAATCGCTGCAAATTTCAAGGTAGACAACCTCTAGTTGATATAATTATGTAATTGTCAAATTAGATTTGTATTTGGAAAAAGATAGCCTTTAATGCCTGGGCTTATTGGTCTTGATTTGAAAATTTAACGATTGAGTGGGCCTATAATTCGGGTAATTGTCCAGTATATTTGCGCTTGTATAGGAGCTTATGACAATTCGTTTTAAATTTAAACCTTTGACACTTTGAATGAGGTTCGTTAACAGTTAGAAGCTCTGATGATTTGAGATAGTAGTGTACTCTAGTTATTAATTTGAAGTTCTAGGAAAGCAAGAAAGATGATGCAATAGAATTTGTACTAGTACATGTAGACTTTAATTTTTATGTTAGAATAATCGAGAATGATGTATGTACATTCTTAGCTAAGTCACCAGAATATCACTTCAGATGGAACGAATAGGTGAATTTGTTAGCTGTATATGAAAGCATTTACGAATCATTTATCCTGTGAGCGTATTTCAGAATAGATAGGATAGAATTCTTGTAATCTCATGGAAGATAATACTACTAAAGATATTCTTCCACTATATGTCTTTGTGAAGATAACTTGGAAGTAAAGGAGGATAAAGTACCATTTGTTTAACATTAGATGGGATGAAATACCAGGAGAAATCCTATTAACTATACGATTTAAAACCGTGAATTCGGTCTCTGAGTCTTGCTAAGGCAATAAAATAAATATCTTAGAATTTATGAAACTATGAAAGGAGCAACAAACTTAAGATAAATGTCCAAAAGTGAAAGGATTAAAACCACTGATCGCACTAAGAGCCATTACGAGAACTGGAGTAATTATATCTGGATCCGTAAAG